TAACTCCTTACATATGTTAGACGTAAACTATATAGTTTAAACGAAGTTAAGAAGACCAAGATGGTGTGGCCTTTTGTCTGGTCGCTGTCTCCTTTCGTTGTTTAGAAGTTGTTTGAATTTGCTTTCGCAACTCGGTCATATTGGTAGGAAAACTTAGAGGAACGCACCTAGTCCGGAGTCCATTGTATGCATGATCATTTTCAGAGTAGGACCGTGGACGTGGTACTTTCCCAGACGTTTCTCTTGCATCGTAGTCGGCATCGCCAGTGAGTCTCGCTATTCGTCAAAGAGACAAGTGAATCCCATCCTTTGACCAAACGTGTGCTAAACAGTTGTGGTATCTCCCCTTCTGCCTTGGGCTCGAGTAGCACAGACGGGGGGTCAGGGGTCGAGTGAAATACGTGTACCAGTGAGATAGCAGACGGATTCGACGGGGCAAGAGGGAGACTTTGATAGGACCCACGGAAGGACTACGTAACAATATGACAGACTCTGGTCAACATTGCTAGCACAAGGGTCAAGGGGGTGATAACGACAGCGTGGAGTGTGAAGGGTTTTCATAAATGCCGCTCAAAGGAGCACACCACACTACATCGAAATAAGTACGGTAAAAAGTGTAACAGTGAAGGTGTGATAGGAGGATATAGGAAATGTGAATAGCCCAGAGCAGAAGAGGAGATACCACAACTGTTTAGCACACGTTTAGTCAAAGGATGGGCTTCACTTGTCTCTTTGACAAGTTGTTGTGTGGTGCTAAGAGTGGCGAGACTCACTGACGATTCCGACTACGACGCCGGCGAAACGTCTTGAAAAGTACCACGTCCACAGTCCCACTTTGGAAATGATTATGCAGACAATGGACTCCGGACTATTTGCGTTCCTCTAAGTCTTCCTACCAATATGACCAATTTGCGAAAACAAGATCAAACAACTTCTCTAGGTTAAAACCGTGATTACGATGAGATGAGTTAAAAATGAAATCCACATTTGTGACATAGTTACTTCATAGATTGTAACGACTTACTTGTCGAAAATATACGCGACATTAACAATACATGGACTTGACTCCCGTTGCTGCCGTTCAGTCGGGATAAAAATACTTTTTGGCAGGGAAGTCTAATTGAAATACAATGGCATTGTCAAGCATAATCATCGTGGAAACTTTCAATTATCATTCTTCATCACCTTATGTGACTTAGGGTGATTATAGTTCTAATTACAGATATACATATCTTCTATTAATTATGAATCACGTGGTGAGGTGAAAACTGGCTCAGAATGAGGAGTGTTTACGGCCTCTCATCCATCTGCAGGACATGCGAATGACGACTTCGACTGGGATTTGTGGCAGAGAGGGCGATAGATCGAGAGATCGGAAGAGTCTGAACGGTTTTTTTGGCTCAAGCGGACAGATCAGTAAGTAACGCTACGCTGACTATGGAAAGACTAGGGTGACGGAGGATTACCCTTTCGTATCCCCGGTTGTCCTAGTCGCCAAGGCCAGATATAAGCCCAGTTGAGATGCATATGCATAACCAAGTAAGGCTTATTTCCTCAACACTTTCTTATCAATACCACAGGCTACGAGGAATTGCCTAATTTGTCAGTCAGCCGGCTTTACAACACTGCAAACTGACCAGTGCAATCAACACTTTGAATTACCTTTCTCATTGTACAACACTACCGATGCCGATATAATACCTCGGAAGGCGCATTCCCTCGTGTTTTAGCATAAGATGCTTTATAATAAGAAATGTTCAAGTCTATCTAAAAGAGCTTATTACCGTTGTAAAAGCGAATGATGTCTGTAAAATCCATGTCGTAGTGCAGAATTATGTCGCGATAACATTGAACGAGGGAAAGCGCGATGAAAGGACCAAAGTCATTGCAGACCAAGCGTCGAGCTGACCAGATGGTCTCCCAGACGCGAAACACGTCTTCGTAGACGAGTTCTGCAAAGAAGATATTAAAATATGTATACATGATAATAAGAAGACTGTTGGATACCAAAAAGTAATGAGTGAAGCCACATGTAATCCTGGCTATAACGGTTAAACAGAGGAAGTCTGGCTAAACGAATCGCTACAAAAAGGTGAAACTGGGTTTCGATTATCCTCCTGAGCTACCATAGCTGTGGCGCCTTTAATTTCGTGTGAAAGTGTGTGATGATGAGAATCCTAGATCGAACTCATCAGACTACGATGGCTACTTCGCATCATTATTTGGCGATTGATGCTACTATTAAGTTCATGCTGATGCCATCTAAGAGAAATCCTTCTCCCTTGTTATGTAAAGTATAGACATAATCTTGGCTGGATTCGATTACTGCAAAAACGTCAAAATAATTATAAGCCTGGAAGTTAAGAGTTTGGCTTTCGTCTTCTCGACTTGGTGTCAGTCTGCAGTTCTTACAATGAAATCCAGCTCTGATGATACCTGTAAAGTCTCCTGAGAGACAAAAGCTCAGTTTGCTTACACTTAAACGAAAGGAGGAAGTCTTGAAGACTCAATGATAACGGCTTTAGAATCTTTGCATCAGGCACTTTCACACGAAATGGCGGTCACTGGAACGCAAAAGTTATGGCTCTAAAGTGACAGCCGGATGAACATGAGGCTGATGGAAGGATCTAGTCGACTGAATAAACCTTAAATGATGATATTTCAAAGAAAGCATACACGCATTGGTGCACAATAAGGCAAATTGTGCATGTGTACAGCATTAAGGTAGGGAGAGGAAGCCTGGCCAGATTACTTGAATCGAACAGTGTTCAAGAAAACTATGACACTTCAGTCAAGCCCCCTTTTAGAGAGGAAGTGTATCCACTATCCAGATCAGATTGCTATGATATGATCTGTTCATGTTGTAGCCTTTCGGTTAGAGATTTCTTGTCTCATTTGAAGAAGGTGGCGAAAGACAAAAGTGTCTGTAGAGGCTGAAGGATTCAAAAATCACAACTAGTGGTGAAGATGGCAGAAACTGGACATGTGATTAAATGGTCTCAAACTTGTAGTTTTCCTGATTTTGGTATGACTGAGGCTAAGCGTAAAATTGGAGAAGCCATGGAAATCAACTGAATAGGCCATGTATTGAATGTAAGGAATATCGGCAATAAGTTCTTAATTGATAGAGTTAAGGAGTAAGGGGAAAAATGAGTAGATTGAGGTAGTATTTCGACGTCATGGTATTGCTTACAGTCACACAAAAAGCTCACCAACTTAGCTAGACGCATGTTCTGCATTGCGCAATCACAGCGATGATTAAAAATGCGCCATTAAACTTTGACGTGCAGATGGTAAAAGCTATACTCTCTCCTAATTACTTGGACCGCTGCTGGTTTTATATCGTCACTTATACATGAATGCAAATATGTACACACAAGCATACATACGGACGTGCTGCAAGATTGGCAAATGACATGTACCAAACAACTCATTTCATAACACATACAATTCATAGGTTCAGCGTATCTAAATATATAACATGAAGGAATATACTACTCTGAAGATGTTCGTCATATGCGAGAGGAAAGCTCGTCACGTGTTAACCGAAATCATAAAAGATTGCCTCGGGCAGAATTCTCCAGTAAAACCATGAGGAATCAGCTGTCCATTTATGGTGGGAGCGATCTACAAGAATTCATATCACCACATATTTTTACTCTGAATGGAAATGAGTCAACACTTTTAGCTGGAATGAGTACTAGAATCTCGAAAATTCATCGAACATGTTTGAACTCAATTCGGGATTAAGGTGATGTTCAACAATAACGGCAAAAGAAAGATGAGAAAACGGTCTTGACTTGTTTGCGCAACTTGGTCGTGTTGTCAGGGCGACCTAGTTGGACGCATCTGCTTTAGTCATTAGCATTATTGCCAGAAGTGAACCGTGGACTTGATACATATCCAGACGTCTCGCCGGCATCGTCAGTGAGTCTTGCCATTTCTCAGCATCAACCTCAGCTATAATGAGCTAAAGAGACGAGTGAAGTCAATTCTTAACAGTTGTGCCATAACTCCTATTTCTCTCCTCGCATGTTTACCTACTCGCTAACCTCTTATCATACCCCTGCCCTATCACAACTTCTGATTTGTTTATATTCCAATCCGCAAGAGCTGTGTCCTTTTTAGCCAGTTTAGCTTGGCGTCATCAAATATGCTGTTCACCTTGCACCTTCTCGCCTTTGCCGATCCGACTTGGGCCTCCTTTCCGGATCTCCCTCATGCGCCCGTAGATCCATTTCTTATCTTTCTGCTTGACCGATTTCACTCGATTCTAGCCGCAGTATCATTTTACTTCAGGCGCTATTTCTCAAGGCTTCA